TATGACACTCAGATTCAGTTCTGAAGTTTAACAAACAACATGGCATTGAAAATAAATACACTCCAAAATTTATCTAATTTTCCACAAATGATGACTACTTAAAATATGTGAAAGTCCAGCTAAAAACATTGTTACTTTTACACATAAGTAATATCTTACAAAAGATAACTGCACATGACTATATGTGATAAAACGTTTAGTATTAAGGGTATGATATACCAGGATTAGACCAATTGCTGTTGGGTGATTATGTCTGCCTCAAGCACTGGCTACAGAGGTTGTCAAGACATGTGCTGTGAGTACATCAGTGTGATGGAATTCATCAGACTATTACCAAGCTCTTCAGAAAGTGTTCCACTACTGAAGCAACTAGGGTATAATCCAGTTAGTGCTCTAAACAGGGGATGAGAGTGGTCTTGATAGTAATTACTCTGCTTGGTCAGTAGTGGATGACCTCTGCAGTAGGCTGACCACCCCTTTAAGTGGATACAATACTGTAGTTGCCAAGGACTAGCGGTGATTGTGTTGAAGTTGAATGAACCCTGAAATAGCAGTTTTCATTGTATCTTGTGCTTGTACTCTGTCAAGAAAATACTTCAAATTCTTTTAGTAAAAACAGAGATAATTAATTTGATGAATATTCAGCATGGGTTCCGTTGGCCTTGAGAATATAATGTACTTTTATCTTTAAAACCCTGAAGATTTACACTTATATCTAATATGCAAAATAATAGCTACATTCAGTAATTAATGATTAAACGTGAAAATCCAAGATGGTGTATTCTTCAGCTTCATTTTGATTTTAAACCATAATAATTTAATGAATCAAGACTGTTTGTTTATGCACACTCAGTGACATCACTAGCTGACCACACATCTGTACCAGGGGTATGAATGTCAGTCATACACAGAGATGGTCAAAGGATGTCCTGGGGATAGTGACCGACTGAGGTCATGCCCCTTGGTGTTTGCCTCCACTTGAGGTCCACCACCAACTGGTGTCCATTAGGAGAGGTACCCTCTTATCATTACAAAGATCACCACAGAATACAGCCAAATTCTGTTCCTTGTTGCAAACAAACTTCAACACCTTTTGAAAATTGAACACGTGCAGTACGTTGCTGATTTAGAATGTGAGCTTCCTGTATCCAAGCCTTGAGGCTGTGTGTTTAGTCTTCAGCTGCCACCTTCGGTTGGAGTCAACATTTCCATAAATATTGACTATGGTAATTTGTGGAGTTTGGGGTAAAATCAACAGTTAAATGAATTGCATCCATTTTGTTGATTCCACTCTCTAACCATCATGGAACAGTGATATGGACAGTGATGCATGCTGCCCATCAGTGCAGCCACTTGTCCACACAGTGCACAAACAGGCACTTGCTTTAAGTCCAACCCAAACATTTCAATGAATACAGTTTCCATTGGATTAATGGTTATTACCAGTCTCTAGAACTGGGGGTCGAACCCATGACCCTGCGCTGTTGGAGGATATTTACACCCCCTGTCGATAACCTAATATTTTATTTCACACAACTTTCAAAATACAGGTACATAATAGAGTAAGGAGGTTCAGCTGTATTTTTAACTCAGTGAATAGGTAAATGTGTGGTAAAAGATGGACTACATTAGAAAAAAGTAATCAATTTGTATTAACCTTGGAATGATAATAAAAGAACAACTGAGATTTATAATTTTATCTGTGATTCTTTGCTTAGGAAATAATGATACCACTACTTATCATTTTTAGGACATTTTACAGAAAATGAGAATGTAAATTGTTTAGGAAGTACATAATTTCTCCTTAACGTGTACATATTAGAAACTCAATCATACCTGAAAAATACATTTAACCGTAAGCACGGCCCGCGTCCCCACATGAAGAACGGTGAGTGAGTTATCATTTTTAGGACATTTTACAGAAAATGAGAATGTAAATTGTTTAGGAAGTACATAATTTCTCCTTAACGTGTACATATTAGAAGCCTACACGAAATGTCATCCTGTTTCAAATCAGTCAAGTAAGGCTGCTCTAAACTTGTTAGATTATCATGATTGAACATTTTATTGAAGCTAACCAAGTTTCTACAATGCAACCTCTTGTCTGCCAGAATTCTGACAACATGAATATGTAAATTATTGTGCTGTCCTTGAAGACCCTCAAGGCCAATCATTAGAATTTTGTCCAAAGCCCTGAGGATTGAAAAGAATCATCTGGCTTTGGCTGTGCGGTCATTAGATTCTAACTTTCCAAGAACTTGTACTCAGAAAATATCTTTGCGAACTTGTTGAAACAAGTCGTTGCGAAACAATGAATACTCAATGAACAATGAATGCTGACTGAGCGTCTTCTGTAGAGAGTGAAAGTCAGGTCATTGTGATCTGATCTTCAGTGATGGTTTTCTAAAGAAATTTGTCAACTGATACCTAATATTTGATCAATTGTTTCTAAGATATTGAACAATGAATACTAAATGAACAATGAATGCTGACTGAGCGTCTTCTGTAGAGAGTGAAAGTCAGGTCATTGTGATCTGATCTTCAGTGATGGTTTTCTAAAGAAATTTGTCAACTGATACCTAATATTTGATCAATTGTTTCTAAGATATTGAACAATGAATACTAAATGAACAATGAATGCTGACTGAGCGTCTTCTGTAGAGAGTGAAAGTCAGGTCATTGTGATCTGATCTTCAGTGATGGTTTTCTAAAGAAATTTGTCAACTGATACCTAATATTTGATCAATTGTTTCTAAGATTTTGATCTAATTGCGGCCATACAGTAATGAAGAAGATTTCTATTATTGTAAATGAAACATTCAGTTCTTCATTTCAATCTTTAAAAGAACATAATAGTTCCTTTTTTTTCTCATTACATCTTCAAATGTGTTCATTTTAAAACTCATTTCACAAAATTAATAATTATGAATGTATGAGTGACATAGATACGCTTTTCATGACAAAATCTTCTATTAGCAGTCAATTTTGACAGGAAATTTAAGAGTTTTTTCCTGCTTTAATTAAATTGTTTGTAACACACAATTTGCTGTTTGTATTTAGCCTAATGGTCTGTAATTCCATGACAGAGATGTAGTGAGAGCAGGCCGTCCTCCTTGTTCACCACATGCTAGGATCCTGGTGACAGATTAATGGATATGCATGCTAGTTAGGAAACCATTTAAAGAGTTAATGATCACAGACCATCATAAATGAATCTTTAGCTCAACATGGCTCATACATGTAACCCAGGGGTCATTAACAAACTGGGGTGTAATCAGCTCATTGTGAGGAAGGAAACACGCATTGGCAAGGGGAGGGAATACCCTAGTTATCTTTCTTTACATGTCCTCGTTAATGTCACAAGGATATTGTTCGTGGCGTCAGCTTATCGCCAAGTGTGTCTTAATCACAGGTTTGATTATGATCTTAAAGGGAAGTAGTTATAAAAGCTTGTATTCCATGTTTGTATGACAATCAAAATATTTATTGGCAGGGGAATATTTTTATGAAAGACTGGAACTGTTCTGTGACCTTGGGGAATTGACATCTTAGAATAAGATTTGTGACTCACTCTCTTAAAATTGGTTATTTATTCTTGAGAACTTTGAATGGTAACAATTCCTGGACTAGACAGGCGATGAGTAATACTTGATATTGATTTATAGTCTGTTTGCAGTGAAAACGTACCGATGAATTTCACTTTTAAAAAGTGAAATTAAGATTGCGAATCCTCATGATTTTACCTTGCCAATTGAACTTTTAAATCTCAGAATTTCATTCAACTTATGATAAAAGTTGTTTAACAAACGAGCATAGTTTCAAATCACTATTATTGATTTGTATTACAAGGGGTACGCGCAGTAGTTGGAATAGTGAAACAAATGCATGTGCGGTCCGTGATGAGCGTTAACTTAGACTACCATAGAAACCAACCCTTCTTGTTCTCGGGGTTTCATTTAATGTGCATACCCCCTTGTAGTACAGACCAATAATAGTGATTTGAAACTATGATCGTTTGTTAAACAACTTTTATCCTACGTTGAATAAAATTCTGAGATTTTAATGTTCAATTGGCTAGGTAAAGTTATGAGGATTCCCAATCTTAATTTCACATTATTTGATTTACTTTTATTTTTAAAGTGAAATTCATCTGCAAACAGACTATAATTGAATTAAATATGTGTAATGACTGGGTTGTCAATTGTATTAAGTGCACTAATGAGGCAGGTTAGTCATTAAGACACATGAGAATTCAAATCATCAACACCAGAGATTAATCTGTCTCAAAATAACTGCTGAGACAAATTCCAATAAATGCGAATATCAGAAATAAAGTTGAAAATATTTAGAATGAAATGTGAATATTTATAGAAGTAAATATTTTATATGTTTTGCTCTGTTTATGACTAACAATTATGATTAAATTCAAGAAATGTATGTGACTTTGAGGAATAAAGTTCATGCGAAAATTAATCTGTGAAAGCCTACCAGTTCAAACTGCTTTGATGAAAAATATATTTTTATATATTCTGTTGTTACTGTCCCATGTCGATCCTTTCATGTAAAAAATGTTGCTCAAAGGTTGTTAATGCACTATATAAGTACAAAAAGGTACCAAAAACATTTCATTATACACCAAAAATTGTTCATTCCTTTTGCTATAGGAGACTGCTAGTGAACATACACTCTCTTCATTATATGTGCTGTGTGATGTTCTCTCATGTGTGCACTTACTTTCTCAGTACTACTCTATCAATGAAATAAAAAAATCATCAATTCAGAAATATTCGCCCTTTTAAGAAGTTAAATGGACTAGTTTGATCTTTTGAATATGATGTCATTGTAGATGTTTTCTAGTCATGGCATTACTAACTGATTGAAGCTGTTGTTTAATAGTTGATATTCCATAACTCTGCTATTACATGCTAAATTAACCCATTAAGTGCCAATACATGCTTATTAACCCTTCTAATCCTGCTTGCTCATTGTTCCCCAGATGAAGTAGTCCCGTCAACAGGTGGTGAGTTTACACTTTGTACACATTGACTGTCTAGTCACATTGTACTCAAGTCTCTCATCTTTCATATGTCAGTATGTCTGTCAACTATCTCTGATTTCTATCCATGTTATACTTAGGTCATTGCACTTAGCCACAATGTACCCAAGTCACTCTCGCCACGATCTACTTACATCTGTGTATCTATCCACTTCTGTCCATGTCATACTCAAGTTTTTCTGTCAAAGTTGCACTTAAATCAGTTTACCTATCCACCTTGTCCTAAGTTCTCTCATCTCAAGCCATGTTGCACCTAAGTTATTGTATCTAACCACAATGTACTCACGTCTGTCATCTCTGGCTATCTTGCACTTAAGTCCATCATCTGTAGCCATGTTGCACTTAAGTTGGTGTATCCTATTCACATTACACTCAAGACTGTCCTGTCTGGCCATATTGCACTTATTTCAGTGTGTTTATCCTCGTTGTGCTCAAGTCTGTCATCTCTAGCCGTTTTGTACTTAAGTCAATGTATCTTTATCACATTGTACTCAGTTCTCTCATGTCCAGCCATGTTGCACTTAAGTCAGTGTGTCTATGCTCATTGTACTCGAGTCTGACATCTCAAGCCATGTTGCACTTTAATCATGTACCTTATCCACATTGTACTCAAATCCGTTATATTCGGCCATGTTGCACGTAAGTCATGCATCTTATCCACATTGTACCTATGTCTCTCATCTCTAGCCATGATGCACTTATGTGAATGTGTCTATGCTCATTGTACTAAAGCCTGTCATCTCTAGCCATGTTGCACTCAAGTCATTGTATCTATCCACATTGTTGTACTCAAGTCTCTCATCCCTGTCTGTGTGGCACTAAAGTCCATTTCTTCAGTTATGTAGGTGTATCTGAGTATTCCCTTGTGTCAAATTGGTTCATTGAACTGACGTCTGCCCTTCTCTTGTATGAAATTGTCACACTGTTCTTTGGTCTGTTCATCCTTTTCTGAAACACTGCCACATTGTACTTAAGTGTGTGTCATGTATTCACATCGTCTTCAGTGTTTCTCATCTGTTCCCTGGATATGGAGTTTGTCTGATCTATCCACTGTGTCTCCAGACCGTCCTGTCTTGTCTAGCCACATTGTACTGAAGTGTGTCACAACTATCTATCCACCTTGTAGTCCACATGAGCTCATTACATCTCACATATACTGCATATATCTATGTTGTGCGAGTCCTACAAACCTTATCTCCACTCTGATGTCTGCAATGAATCATATGTCTGCAATATATCTGTGATATGCCTGCGCAGACAGTGGACTTATGTTAGACATAATTTATATAAGCTATATCAATAAAATCAATATTTACCTATAGTTGCATGTGTGACTTACCATGTCAGCATCAAACTCGACTTATTGAAACATCATGCTCATTTATGTTAATATCATAAGTATTTATAGCAACAGCTTGTTGAACTTTGTCAACATGAGTATCCATAGCAACATCATCCTCAACCATGTCATCATCAGAAGTATCCATAGCAACAACTTGTTCAGCCAAGTCAAGCATCATACCTTAGTACATCAGCGTTCTATTGAACAGACTGATCATTTAATGTCTATTTAGCAGACTGAACATTTAATGTCTATTTAGCAGACTGAACATTTAATGCCTATTTAGCAGACTGAACATTTAATGTCTATTTAGCAGACTGAACATTTAATGCCTATTTAGCGGACTGAACATTTAATGCCTATTTAGCAGACTGAACATTTAATGCCTATTTAGCAGACTGAACGTTTAATGCCTATTTAGCAGACTGAACATTTAATGCCTATTTAGCAGACTGAACATTTAATGCCTATTTAGCAGACTGAACATTTAATGCCTATTTAGCAGACTGAACATTTAATGCCTATTTAGCAGACTGAACATTTAATGCCTATTTAGCAGACTGAACATTTAATGTTTAGTAGTTTCCATGTGTGCTGAAGTTTAACACTCTTTCTGTTCTTTCAAATTTACCTGTGTCTGTTCACCCTGCCTCCATCATGTCCAAGTCTGATGTGAGAATCAATGTTTCTGCCTCCATCATGCAAAATTATGCTCATAATGCTATGTCTTCTCTCAAGTGAACTAATATACTGCACTACATTGCATTTGATTATATTTACCAGTGTATTCAAAGTCATCAGACCTTTCCATTTATGTGAGACACAGGTGGGTAAGATAAGGTTTCCTAGTTACACATGCTTCTTTGAGGCTCCTAGATCATTCTGGAGGTCAGACTCGGTGACCTGGTTGACCATCATACCTGCTGACTTGGTACGTTGCTCAGAATATCAGTCACTAGTTCGTCTGGGCCAGAATTGATTACTTACGAATACAGGATGCCATTTAGAAAGTGGTCAAATGTAACATATGTTATATTTGGGATAACACTTTCTTATAAAAGTCCCATCCAGGATTTGAACCAGGATACATTACTTATGTATAGCTGGAATATTGCTGAGTGCAGTTAAATGACAAACAACCTTTTCATTCATAGCCACCTTATTGAAATGACACTACACATCTACATTACACTGTTTTGTAGTAAGTGCTATCAAACAAAGTGTTTAGTGATGTAGTGTCCTGCTTCTATTAACATTAACTTATCAATTTAATTCCGCAATGCTATTTTAAGCTGTTTTATGTGTCGTATGTTACACATTTTGATGTTTGATTATTCTTACTGAATATATGGTATATACATACTTCAAGTAACATTCACCTCCCTCATCTTACACTGATTACATGGTGCTGCATGTGTTTGCTTTGAGCATGGAACAAGTGTCTGGCTTATCAACAACAGATGACTTTGATCTGTGTAACATCTGTGGTCACCCAATATTGTGGAGCACAGATTACAGTATTAAAGGCATGTGATTGGCTGTGATGAGTTGCTTCCCTTGGGCAACCCAGGATCCTGTTTTTGTGGATTCAAGTTGAGTCCTTGTCCACCCTGATTATGTATCTAGGTATGGCTGCAGCATGCCCATTTGTTTCATCAAAGTGCAAAATGAGTAAAACCAGCATTCAAAGTGGTGTACACCTAACTCACTCACTCACTCACACAAAACCCATACACCCAACAACTCACTCACACACAGACACTGTGGGTGTGAAGGGTATGAGAATAGATGGACAAGGACAAAACAGTTTTCATTATTCTGGATTTTTCACTGGATGTTTTTTATCATGATTGCATTTCAGATGAACCCATGTCATTTTTGTTTTCAGTTATATTTATCTCTTGCATTAACATCAGATGATGCTCATTTTTAGATTCCAGGTTTACATATGACATTTTAACTCTTCTTATTAGCAGAATCAATCTTATCACAATTGAAATGTCATTGTGAACAAAATGTGATTCTTGTATCTTGAACAAATAATATCAGTGGATACTTAAAATTTGCCAAATCAGCAAGTGTTTCCTCTGCTGTTGCTCAGTGTTGCTTATTCAGCACAACTTGCCTTGTAAATGAAAGTTAAGTATCTACTTCAGAAAATTGCTGTTATCCGTGGATGTAAGCTACCAATCTTTCAAATGTTTTCAGATCAAATAAAACTTGTGATAACATTGCCTGTCCATGGTAAACAATGGTTCCCTGACTTAAGTCACTAATCCCAGTACCAGGTGGTGAGGAGTTTAATTAGCTCCATTACAGTGCCGGACCTGTACCGTATTACAATTTAGCCTGGCGTATCTGATCCTTAGTCCTGGACACGCAGACTAGGTCAGGCTCTAGATGCCTCCAGTACTCGCCTCCATTGCTCACCTCTTGTGTTGGTTATCGTGTACTGTCTGTAGCTGGTGGTAGGATGTAGCTGGTGGTAGGATGTAGCTTACATGGCTGTGTTGGTCTTTCCTGGATTGAATGTCATTGTTGAATACAATTTGGTGTTTTTGTTTTGAGACATGGGTAATATTCACTTTCTTGTCATTTGCTGCAGTTTCTGTTGCTCTGATGCAAATTTGAAATAATTTAGGTTGATAGACCAAAGAATATGCAAATACAATTGCTGTCATCATCCAAATTTGTTTTTTCGCCATGGCTATAATTACGAATGGTTTCTCTGTATTGTCATATGTGATGTTTGGGTTACTAATATTTTGTCCTGGGATCAGTCCAAACAACAGCACTGGAATCTTCAAGGAATCGAACATTTAAAAGAATTTTTTAAAAGATAGTTAATACATGTATTTATTGTGACCTTTAGGGAAATCATCTTTAGATATTTGTAGGAACATGTGTATTGTCTTGAAACAAATAACATTGTATAAATTTGAATAATTCTGTGCCATTTACATAAACTCTGGTTTCACATTCCTGCATATTCATAAAGTGATTCACATTTGACTGCAATGAACAGTTATAGCATGGGTCCGTGGATTATGTACTGATTTGTGCTGACCATTATCTCGGCGCTAAAAGATTGGCACAATCTTAGTTCATGTCGATCCCTATGACTCATACGAAAGTCTACATACACTAAATGTGGCTGTAACCATCTCAAGTGCTAGTACCGTGACTTTAGTGTTAAGCCACACACACCATCATACATACTCATCCAACATATTCCCCTCCGTATACTCTACAGTAGGCTTAATCAATTTCACCAATTACACAGATATGTCTGATAGATGGGCCTGAGAGTCTCAACAAATGGCTGGAAGGATATTTGGTGAAATTTCAGCCACTAGCATAGTCTTGGGAAACACTAGGAGGAGATGTTTACCGAATTAGTCACAACATGGCGCCAATGTCCAGTAACCTGTGGTCATGTTACTGACTGACCTTCATATGAATCATCAGGGATGTAGACGTATGTACCACTCTTATAAAACCATGGTGTCTATCATGTGTTGTGGTCAGAGAAAACAAAGAAAGAAATTGTTCTTGGATTGGTTATGATTTTCTGGGTTGGGCAGATTTTAATTAGATCTTGTTCCATGGTGTGTCTATATAG